GAAATTAATGGGAGAATGAGCTTAATGTAACGTTCTCGATCCCTAAATCATCATTTATATACTTCGTTTTTATTAAATTTGAATGTTTGCTTGATTGATAATCCGTATAATCTTTGGTGATGACACTTACAATCTGATAATTTGTTATCAAATCTCGTTTATAACACCTCGATTCGTGATTATCTGGACGCATAAAATATAAACAATGTACGTATTAGTCATTTACATAGAGGGCATGTAACACAATAAACAAAGAATGGAGATCCGCATTAATCGTGTATTGTTTTGTTTGGCGCACACAAATACACGATACCCAAAAGTCATATTGTCCTTTCAGTCAAACCTTTACCTTTGGTTTCTGTTCTTAGTGCTGAATTATTATTGTAGGCAACAATTGTACCTCTCCATCTTATTTTACTTGTCTCGTTTGCTCAAACAGCACAAGAAAATTAAAATTTGGTTATATTCTTTAATAATTTTTTTAACTATAAGTAGTTCATAAGCAAATAATAACTTTAAGAAATATGTTGAAATGTGTCAATTAATAAGAAATGTCGAAATGGGTGAAGTAATTGAATTCGAGTCTAGTCCAGTTGTTAAACATATATAGGCCTCTAGATGTTCAAGTACTACCAGATATATGTCAGTTCATTTAAGTGTCGACCAATTCACTCCATAAAAACTTGAACGTATTGTCTATTTGTATTATCCACCTTAAATTTGAGGAAAATAATTTAAACAATCAAGTGGAGTAAAACAATGGTGTAGGGCATCAACTAAATTAATATGATAAGTAAATGTTGTGCCTAAAGCCTAACCCACCTATTTGACCTATATTAGTTACGGAGATACGTAGTAGGTAGTGGCGTAGTGCTCCGATCCTTATATTAAAGTCAATTTGATATGGTTAAAGTATTGTATTGATGATATGGAATACAAAGTGAGTACTCCATATAGTCCGTAATAAGTATTAAAACCAAACTCTGGAGAACATATGGAATAGTTTTATCAAAGCCGATATTAATATAGGAAATGTGTCTCCTATCCCTGTTCTTTTGAGCTGTTTTGCTCTGCTCTGCTGAAATCTGTTCTGTTTTGCCCAAAAACTCAAAAAAATAGGAGGGCTTACATGTGACAATATTATACGATGGATAGTTTTGATTGAAAGAGAAATTCCAAGTTTCTCAACATGAGAAACAAACTAAACTATGTTTCTCAAATGACAAAGACGTAAATAAAAGCACTTTTTTTTTTTTTTTTACTGTTCAAGTAGTGGTTTTACCTATAATTTTACAAATTTAACCTCTAGAGATTTCTCATGTTGAGTAACTGGGACGGCCTCGTTTTGAAATTTGAATATAAATATGAAAACATAAATAGATACGGATTAAAAAAAAAATCTATTATTTTCAGGGATGTTGTACCAATAAATATTACTTTGTTTAATTCTTACATCTAATACTAATTGCGTACTTGCATTATTATATTTTGTAAGATTAAGATTTGTGCATCTTCTTGTCCAATATTTTCACTAACACGGTAACACCACCTAATTAAAACTTACAAGGTTATTACTAAATGTTCAGGAGATGAAAAAACATTTGCGGACGATGTAGCCGTTGATGAAGAAGGCAATGCATACGTAACCGATGTAAAAAACAGCAAAATTTGGAAGGTTAATGTAGATGGAAAGTTGTTATCAATCATAAAAAGTCCACTTTTCACTCCAAAAGAATGGTACAAAAATTTGGTAGGACTCAATGGTATTGTGTACCACCCTGATGGTTACTTGCTAGTTATTCATACATTTTCGGGTAATTTGTACAAGATCGATTTGAAGAAGGGAGAGGAAATCACGTTAGTGAAAATCGTTAAGGGATCACTCCAACTCGGTGATGGGTTAGAGTTATTATCTCCAACTAAGCTCGTGGTTGCAGGGAACCCTGCAGGGCGGTTGGTGGAGAGTACCGATGGGTGGGAGACTGCTTCCGTGGTTGGGAAGTTCTCCGGTGCAATGCATAGGTTGGCTACGGCTGCAACGGTGAAGGATGGGAAGGCGTATATAAGTCATTTGATTGGGTTGGGATACCCTAAGAGAAAACATGTCATTGTAGAAGCTGTTTTTAGTTCTTAGAAAGGCAAAGGAGTTCATTTGGGGGTTTAATTATATTGAGTCATTGATACATTATTGTCTTAGTTTAGGTTACTTCACATTTTTTATTTTATTTTTAGTGTGTGTTTTCCTTGAGTTAAGAGGAAAAAAGAGTTGAAAACAATATTTGAAGGGGCTAGTTGATTGTTTCCCTAGCCAAGTTATATTACAATATTGGATTAATATTGATTTGTAATTTGGTTTTATTTGTGAATCCAAATGAAAGAATAACAAGATGGTTAGGTTTGTTCTAGCTTTAGCCTAGGATGAAAACATGACTATGCCTGACTTTTTTTGTTCTAGTTGTTCTTCATAAGGTTTGTTCAACTACTCTAACAAATGACAAGTACTTTTCCTTGTGAGGATCCTATTTTTGAATGTGGCGTAAATCAATCATGTTTTCGAGCTGATACACTAATGTACTAATGTTTTCGAATAATTTTCGTCAAAAAAAAAAAAATTATGTTTTCGAATAAAGAAATAAATCAAATATAATTATTTGAAAACATTTGGAAAGTAACGAGAATTCATTATTTGATGCTCTTATATTTGAGAATCTCTAAGGATTTCGATCAGGATGGTAACTTGATGCTAAAAACCATCCCATTCATTATTATTGGTGATCTATCTAGGTTATTATAATCAAATACCCTAAGAAAATTTGTTATTCGATATTGAAAACATTTGGAAAGTAACGAGATGCATCTCAATGTTATATTACCTCCGTTTCATATTAGTTGCAACTTTGGAATATTTTATATCTCACAAATAATACTCCAAAGTTGCAACTAATATGAAACGGAAGTAGTATGATATTATATATTATAAACAATATATGACCATTAATCTGTCAAATAAAGGCAAGTGGTAACTTTGAATTATTTAAGGGAGGTGTTTACGTAAATGGCTAAATTGACTATATATAGGAAAAGTGTTGGCTCCAAATATCCAAATGTCTTCCCGAAATGTCATGGGGTCAACTAGAAGGATTTCAATTATTTTCTTTTCCGCGTCTGAAAAAGTTCAAAAAGTCTAAAGTTGAAGGCTAATTATTAAGATATATTTAGGAAATTTTTTAGGAATATCATATATTTAGGAGAATATTGTTTTGATAGGATATATTTCATTGTTTCCTATTTTCTAGCTTTCCTAGTTTATCTAGAATTAGGATTCTTGAGAGCCGTGTATTATATATTGTTTGCATGTGTTAATGAAAAGGCAAGCCAAAGTTCACCTCTTTACATGGTATCAGGCCAAAGGTTTTCACAAATAATACTCAATGGCAGGTGATGATACTCCACCACCACCACCCCGACCATCGATCGAAATCAAACCGAATTCCCCTTATTATCTCGGATCCCAAGACCGACCGGGGGACTTCATCACACCGACTCGGTTAAAATTTGACAACTACGATAGCTGGGCAGCAGGCATTTAAACTACTCTCGAAGCCCACCGCAAATTTGATTTCTTGGATGGAACCATTCTTGCTCCATCACCAGCATGCACCAAGTCCGATTGGACAGCCATTAATGCTATGCTAATATCACAGATATCAAATACAATTGATCCTGAAATACGGTCCTCTTTGTCGAAGTTTAGGGAAGCAAAACCGTTGTGGGATCACTTGAAACAGAGATTCGCACAAACTAATGGCCCTCGAATTCAACAATTAAGGTCTTCGATAGTTAAGTGTGAACAAACAAAGGCAATGCCGGTTTCCGTTTACTATGGTCAATTACACTCCCTGTGGCATGAGTTGGATCATCATGAGCCATTAATTTCCTGCTCGGAGAGCGCAAGCAAAGTTGCATGATTTTTTAATGAGTTTATATCATGACTTTTATTCTTCCCTACGCACTCAGATTTTATCACAAGATCCTCTTCTGAGCCTTGACAAAGCCTACCAATTGGTAACCCAAGAGGGACGTGTTCGATTGTCAAAGAAGGTAGTTGAAACCACACCAACTGAGGTTGTTGGGTTTGCTGTGCGAGCAGGGACTGATGTGGCAGGTGTGTCGCGTGGCAGAGGTCGGGGTTATGACAAACCTCTATGCACTAAGTGTCGCAAGTCGGGTCATGAATCCTCTAGTTGTTGGGCAGATACGGTGTGCGGCTACTGCAAAAAGAAAGGCCACCCTGAGACCCACTGTTATGAGCTTGTGGGCAGGCCAGGGAGCAGACGACGGGAGTAGGGTCGCGGCCAGCCTCGTGCCAATGTAGCCGCTAGTGGCAGTCCGTCTTCTGCATCTAATTCTTTTACTATTTCGGCTTTGGGGCAATTATTTAGTCCTGAACAGTGGAAGGCTATTACGGGGGTTGTTGGTAATGCTCAAATTCCGGAAAATAAATTGACCGGTAAGTTTGATGTTTCATCTTGGATTATTGATACCGGCGCGACTCATCATGTCACCGGAGATAGTTCTTGGCTAGTTGATACGAAAAATATTGAATGCCCTGTTGGGTTACCGAATGGTGCAAAAGTAATAGCTACTTCGGTAGGATCCGTTCACTAATCCATGCTTTCAAACTAATTTTGGAGGTAATGGGACCTAGTGTCGGAAACTCACGAAGTCATAAGGAACATATCCTGAGATCATATAATGCCTTTTGGAACTATGTACAATCAGGTGATCACATAAAGACCCATGATGGCCTGGGATGATTAAGTGAATTGTGTATGTAAACAACTTGATTGACAGTTTAAAGAAAAGTAGACGATTTCAACCATCCAAAAGACAACTTGGGGTCCAATGGGAAGCATTCGGCCTATTTTCTTGTCAAGTCCGAAAAAGTCAAAAATTGTCCAAATTTAAAGGCTATTATCCATGCTTTTGGACCAATTTTTTAGATTTTGAGATCCGGTGTCGAAATTTTTTAAAGTGGTAGGGGATGCATTTCGAGGTTATATAATGTTGTTTAGAATCATATATGACCACTAGTCGGTTACTTAAAGGCATGTGGTGGCTTTGAGTTAATTAAGGGAGGTGTGTTCGTAAAATGTTAAATTGACAATTTTAAATGCAAAGTGAATTGTTCCAACCATCCAAATGTCCTCTCGAGGCGTCATGGGTCAATGGGAAGCATCTTGACCAAATTCCTTTTTGGGTAAAAAAAAAAAACGAAAAATGTCCAAAATTAAAGGCTATTATCCACGCTTTCGGGTCAATTTCGAAAAATTTGGGACCTGGTATCGAAAATTCAAGGGATCGTAGGAATGCATCATGGGGTCCTAAATGTTGTTTGAAACCACATAAAACCATTAAACGGTCACATAAAGATCTATGATGACCTTGGGTTGTTTTAAGTCAATTGTGTATGTGCATAATGATCGGATAAATAGAACTTAATCCAAAGTACCCGTCTAGTAGTCTACCACTCATGATAATTTTCATTAGATTATGAATATTTTTTTTTTTTTTGAATAAAGATTATGAATATTGATATATAATTAATTAAAACTCTCAACTTCTTATCTTTATAAATTTTGGCCATGTCTCACACGTTCTTTTACTCTACAACTCACTCCACTCCACCACCTTCCTTAAAAATCGATTTTTTTTTTTTAGCATAAACTTTACCAAATTAAAAACATAAATTATAAATCTGTACAAAAAAAAATATTCTCAACTTAATTTTCAGATGCATTTCTTTGTTTTTCAAGCTTATTGCAGTAGCAAAGATGGAGAAGCAGAGAAGTTGCTCATTTTGGAAATCCACTAAATTTATGGTTATTTCTCTAACTCTTTCTATCTGTTTAGTGTTTTTTTCATTCTTTTCTTTCTGGGTTATGCGAGCTTCTCCATTGATTCACCAAGAAGCATATGTTCTAAGTTTAAGCTTTAATTCCTTAAATCTTCAATCTTTGTCAGTTTCTAGTACAAATTCATCTGATTTTAATCTTAATAATACTACTAATTTGAAGAAAACCCAGTTACAAAAACCTCAAATTTCATCTGGGTTTATTGTTAATAGTTCCATTGAAGTGACTAGTAGTAGAAATTTTACTGTTTTGGGTAAAAATTTCTCAGTTTCTAGAGTGAAAGTTGTGAATTTGGGGGATACCCATTTGAGTGAACTTCAAAATTCATCTGAATTTGTGAGATCTTCTAGTTTTAAGGATGGAATTGGTGAAGTTACTACTGATGGAGTGGTAGAAAATGAAGTTAGTTGGGTTAAAAATGAGTTGAATTTGACTAAAGTTGGTAAAATTGATGAGGAGATTGAAGAGAAGAAGGGTAAAAAATGTGATGTTTCCAAAGGGAGGTGGGTGTTTGATGATAGCTACCCATTGTACACAAATTTCTCATGTCCATTTATAGATGAAGGCTTTAATTGCCAAGGAAATGGGAGGTGGGACAAAGATTACATGAAGTGGAGATGGCAACCTCAAGATTGTGACATTCCAAGGTATTGTAAATTTGTAATTGATAATCCCTTTTGCAATCATTTGTAAATGAAAGCTAAGTTGTTACTCGGACTTGCATTGTTGTTTACGAAATGAGTACGTGTTCAAGTGTTAGACTCGAGTACTTTATGAAGCGTTTTCGTGTTTTATGACATTTTGATCCAAGGAATTGTAGATGTTTATTCTGTAGGTAAAACAGAAATTTTGATTTTGTATGGTAGCTGTATGTGCTAATTGCTAAGCTAGGATTTGGACTGTTTGAAAATAATACTCTTTGATTCAAATGTTAGGTTCAATGCAACAAATATGCTGGAATTGATTAGAGGAAAGAGGCTAGTCTTTGCTGGTGATTCAATTAATAGGAATCAATGGGAATCATTGCTTTGTTTATTGACGAGTGCTGTTAAAGATCCCACTAGGGTGTATGAGACACGGGGTCGAAGGATTACTAAGAATAGAGGGGCTTATAGTTTCAAATTTGTGGTATGTACTCAGCTCCTTCAGTACTTTTGTGTTTCTATAAATTGATCCTCCTTGTTTCAATTCGTATCCTTAGTTTTCACAGAATACCTGAGCTGATTATTACTCTGGTGATTTGGCAATTTAGGATTATCAGTGCACAGTTGAATTCTATGTGACCCATTTCTTAGTGCGTGAAGGCAAGGTGAGGATGGGCAGGAAGCGTAAGGAAACTTTGCGAATTGATAGCATAAATAGAGATTCAGCAAAATGGAGAGGAGCTGATATCTTGATCTTTAACACTGGAAATTGGTGGACTCATTTCAAGACAAAAGCAGGGTGAGTTAATTTTTATGAAATATTGAAGACTGTTTAATACTTGTTGAGTTCAGATTGGAAAGCATCAGCACTATTAGGAATTATGAATCACATTTATAATAAAGTTGCCACATCTCTTAAAATAGCAACAATTATGATTGGGAAGGGAATGAAAACATATAAAGGATTTTTTTTCCCCCGAATCACAAGGGATTGTGACAATGTGATTACTGATTCCAAGTGGAGTAATAATTTGAGACTTTCGTTAAAGATTGTCTCAATTCTCTCAAAGTTATTAGTATCTTATGTACGAATTAGGACTTTCTATTATGTCTTTCTGAATTTGTACTAAACAATGCAATTGCATGTAGGATTAACTATTACCAGGAAGGTAAGCAAGTTTATCCACACCTTGATGCTATAGCAGCTTACAAAAAAGCTCTTCTGACGTGGGCTACATGGGTCGATAGATATATAAATCCTCACACAACCCAGGTTTTCTTTCGAAGTACAGCACCAGCTCATTTCAGGTTGGTTCTCTACACTAACATATAACTTACATAAGAGTATGTGCATCAAAGGTTGCAGTGAACCTTTTCACTTTAAAAAACCTGTCTGGTTTGCTGAACAGAGGAGGGCAATGGAATACTGGTGGGCATTGTAGAGAAGCAAGGAGGCCACTAAATGAAATGTACATAGACAATCTTGATAAAGATCATATTGCTCGGGAGGTCATCAATACGATGAAAACTCCTGTTACATTTGTGAATGTAACAGGATTATCGTCATATAGGATAGATGGTCATCCTTCCAAGTATGGGAAAAACCCAGGAAAGAAGGGATCGTCAGAAGATTGCAGTCATTGGTGTCTTCCCGGTGTTCCAGATGCTTGGAACGAGCTGATTTATCATCAGTTACTTATAAAACAACAGAAGAATATGTATGCTAGGTGATGAGCATTAGAACAGTATTATTATAGGCGTTCACACATTCTTTGATTAACTTTTTACATTTGATATCTGCTATTAGATACTTAGATTCAGAATTTTTTGTAATCAATTGTAATGAAAGCGGGAAACAATGTATGCTATTGACTAGTGTAATACTTGTAATAACACGATATTGTATGGTTAAGGGAATCAAGATTGATAGCAAGTATGTAATAGAGTATCAATTTACAACGGATTGTAATAAGATTTGATGGAACTAACTTGTATCCGATTATCTTACCTAAACATAGACCTACGCAAAATCAGCATCACTTGATATTATTTGGAGCTTTAAATTTGGTTTTTCACAGAGTAAAAAATTAATAGTCAATAGGTATGAGGATGATTCATTCCAAAATTGATCTAAAACGAACCATACTCGAACCATTGACTATTCACTCAAAATGTGACTCTAACAATATTAGACCAAATGGAATATGATCCGAAAGACCACTTTGGCACCTCTAGTCTAAGGTTAGGCTTTAAAGAACAAAATGGTAGTGTAATTAGGGCGCACATAAATGATTCAATCGGAGTAACAGGATCATAGACAAACGATTAGATTTACCCTAATTTGATACGAACTACGATAATAATCACATTTGCTGAATTAATGACAAGTAAAAATGCCTCATACATCTAAAAGCTGGACTGGAAGCAAGGTCTAAGCTACAAAGGTGCAATAAGAGTAAATAAAATGATACTTCCTTTCGTCTCTATATGTTCTTCCTACTTTGACTTTTTCTCGTCTCAAAAATTTCAATTAAAAAGAACAAATAGAGACAGAGAGAGTATGATTCAACATGACATTTTCACTTTTCCCTCTTACTTAAGATGAAAACATGAATTTACTATTTACTGAAAGGACATAAATGATCAGATAGATCAACCAGCAGATTGAAAAAAAGAACACACACTCAAAAGTAGTAGGTCAACTCTGGATTAATTTCTTTTTTCATCTCAAACTTTCTGCGGAACTATTTTTTATAGCAGCATTACTTATTTGGGTTTTATGAGTTATCAACAGAATTACATAAGCTGTAAAATTTCAAATTCTACCTTGTGTATTAAGGTATCTAAAATAGTAAAATACTAAAATTATCCCATGGATGGTATCATGGTACATATGTGGTTCCTACTGTACATGGAACAGTTACAGTTCATTTTATTAAGATTTTTATTATTATTATCTTCCTACTTCATATGATTAACAAACATACTGGCTGATCGACAAACAGCCACACAAGTCCACTCGACCACTCGGGTATCAATGAAAACCCTTGATTATGTAAATACATACACTGATGACATACAGCTCAGCGAGACTGATGTTTCCTTGCACGACTCTGAGAAGATATGTGTTCATCCTTCTTAGATTCATTAGGTCTTCGGGCCCACGAAGGTGCTTGATCAGGACCATAACGATAGTCATAAAAGAGTTCCTCCTCGGCTTCAATCCGTTCTCTGGCAAAAATACCAACCCGATGATCTCCTCCCACCAGTAATATCTGGTCAAAGCAGCATATTAGTTGAGCTGATAAACTCCCTATATTGGAAGGCAAAGAGAGTGCAAAACAGAAATTAGGTACCTTGCAATAGCAGTTGGGTTTTGATGAGTGATTTGCAAACTTCAACTTGTCTCCTTGACGGCAGGCATCAAGAACATACTGTGATCATAAGAAGTTGTAATTATAAGATACATAGTAACAGAATATTATACAAAATGTTCGTAAAAAGTGTGCAAAAGTAAATAGCCTGACAGGAGCATCACTAAGGAAGTTCTGAATATGCCAGAAAAGAAAAACCATCACATTTAAATTTGGAAATTTGGGAAAATCATGAATTTTTACTGCATTTTTGTGCTGTGAGTTTCCTAATCATTTTATATATTAAGTTATTAACATGTACTTTCATCAAGGACTCTCTGTTAGCAAATTAGATATTGAATGTAGGAGACACGCAGAATAAATGATCTGATGTGATCGGATCCTTCCTTTTCCCTCTTACATTCAGAATGTTCAAAACAATAGAGATGGAATAAAGAGTTAGATAATCTATTACAGAATTACATTATCTGCATTTCAATAATGTTTAAGCTCATGCTGAACAATTTGAATTTCCCCCATTGTCAACTATAAGTAAGCTCATTGCTCCAGATACACTAGAACAATGTTAAATTAAGCATTCTACCCCTATTAGCAAAAAACATACATCTAATGAAATAGCTATTTAGCATATGATTAAACACACACACACAAACACACTTACTTGATCATTCAAGTCAAATAGATATGATGAATTTGCTCGATCATATATTTTTCCGCGTTTATCAGCTTCTCGATGCGATATCAATTCACCTGTATATTCTCCAAGGTAATCATGTTTATTCACAGTATTCTGCAATATCATGACACACTTTCTTAGAAGAGCTTGAAAATAGCAATAATTATAGTTACTCTGTACCATATGTCTCTAACCTTGATAAAAGCTCCCCATCCAGCAACATCTGACCGTCCCAACAATATCTGAGCAAACATTATATCAAATTATGAATCATTATTTAAGAGCAAAACACTGTCAATGAAAAATATTGCTACTTAAGAAGTCAAAGTAGTCTACCCTCTGCTGTTGCCTCAAAAGGAGCCTCATATTTGCACATTGTCCATCTCCTCTCTTTGGTGGTTCGCCTAGATCACCCCCACCGCAACTGAAAAAAAAAATGCAGGAAAAGCTGTTTTAGCAAGTAAAATATAATATATTTTTCTTTTATTTTTAGGTGGACTAAGAATTTTATTAAATATATTGAATCATCTATTTACGGCATATGTATACTTTAAGATGGCCGAGGGAGAATTTAACAGTCAGTTTGCAATGCATGCTTTAGTTGATCTTTGCTACTTGAATTCTTCCTTTACAGTGAAAGGAAGTTTTCGGTATCCACGTATATTGCCATACTAATAAACAAGTTTTACAAAAGGAAAAAAACAGAGTCTAAACCAACCAGCTAGGTAAAGCCACACAGACTCTTAAACCATCAAAGTAAGCCATGAAAGTTCCAACCAAGCTCTAAAATGGTGCAAGCCTACCACCCAAGAGATCCAAAAGGTTTGCTCTCACATTGCAGATAATTTCAACTCGACCATCTTTATTCCATGGTTACCAGACTAAAAAATACCTATAATGTGATGAGGAAATACCGGAATATGCAATTTCCATATTTTGACAGTATAATTGTTAATGATTATTCTTCTAAATTAGGAACCAGAGCTTTGACATCTGCTACGTCCAGAGATACACTTACGTTTATGATTCAGTAGAGCACAAGTAGCACAACCTTAAGAAGGTATTAATCATATAGTGACAGGCTATTTTCGCAGATAAAAAGATGAACTGAAAGTTGTAGTAAATAATTACCTAACCCAGCAATTACGACAAACATCTGGATCACATTCACGATTAGCTGCAAAACATGGGCACTGCCGGCTTCTACACTGACTCTTTGCACAGTGGCATCCTCGAAATCTATTTTTGCAGCCCTTTGAACACCTGTTATGGATTATTTAGCAATTATTATGATTATTTCTTTCCCATTAATCTTTCTATTATGATTTTTGGACTGGAGAATTTGTTTACTGCATTTTTATTCAGACAAAACTCAAAAGGTATGTGTCTTTACCCACAGTACTTTTCGCAACAGTTTCCGCTTACTAGGCAGGAGCAGTCCTTCCCACACATGAACTGGCATGAACATGGTGTGTACTGCTTGTCTGCCTTGTTTGCATCACTATCCCTTTTCCAGCTAGATGGATGACCATTGGACTTTGTAGAATATTTTAGTTTTCTTGCCCTTCCTCTTTTACGAAATATTCTTGATCTGGGTCTCATTTGCACCTGGATAAAAATACTTATTAGTCTGTAAAAGTGGTACTTGGTAAAATTTGAAAGCCAGTACACCAACAGCTACATATATTCACACATACTGACCACGAGTTCTGGCACAATGCTAGAAAATAAATAAGTGGAAAGCGAAGAGATTAAAAAACAATTTGCTGCTAGGAGTGCTAGTTTCAAGTAACCAACATGCTCAAAAGGAATATGAGAAAGCATAAAATAGAAGGGACAGGGGGCATCAAGTCATCAAATAAATGCATACCATATTATCTGAATCAGCTCTTGCATTGTCTTCTGACGAGTTTACTTTATCCATTTTCTGCGTCAACAAAGCCTTATTATTCTGCAAGTAACTGGACACCTCGCTACAAGTCTTCAGACCAGGTAGAAAGTTTCTGGCTATCAGGCAACTGCAAAAGTTATAAAACATCTTTAGACTGAGAAAGTATAATAACATACAATTTCGTAGCCGGGTGTGAAAATAACCCAATGTCCTAGTCTACCTTAAAAAAAACTTGCTCTCTTTCCACTTCTGATATACATTTTTCTTACAATAGCATATATGCCCTGTTTCAGAAAAACATGAGCAATTACAGAACACAATTTTCCAGATTATTTTACAAACAGCTACAGTGGCGGATCCACGTTGACGCCTGGGGGGCACGTGCTACCCCCCCAAAAAAAAAAAAAAAAAAAAAAAAAAAACCCTGTTTTGCTGAAAAAAGCGTGCTCTTATATTTATCTAAACATTATAATCCGTATTCATATTAACTATCTTCAGCATGGCTTCAGTGGTAAGAGAGCTATATGGTGAATGTGTTTGTTCGAGAAGGTCAGGGGTTCAAGACCCCAACGCATCAATATTTTTTGCTTTTAACCCAAATAAATTTCCACTTTATTTCCTCCACTTTCATCAACACAAGGATAAGCTATGAGTACTACCTTTCCATGATAAATTTCTTTTTTCCGTTTTCACATTTTTTTATAAACAATTATTATATGTTGTTTATATTAGAATGAAAATTTACAATGAATATAAAAAGATCATACGCGGACTCGGCATCTATGTTTAAATAAATGAAATATTTTGACTTTTTGCACAACTCATCTAATTCACTTTAAGTCTTTAACTAATGTTTGTGATTAATCATAAGAATAAATATAGCCGTGTGGGTACTTGTTGGAATCGTCTCAATGAAAAATTTATTAATATTCAATTGTTATAATTTTTATTATTAAAGATATTTTCAGTCAAAGTTTTAGCATACATGCACAAGGAAAAATTTATGATTCATATGCAAATTTGACAAAATAAAAATTAAATAGGTGGAAAGTTTATCATAGTATAATTGAAAATTAGAATATAAATTATTTGCAAGAAAAAATAACCTTGTTAGTATAAATGTTTGAATTTGATTGTTAATTATTATACGACTACACAACGTATTAACGTAGTTTGTTTAGCAGATTATTATATTATGTTACGTTTCAATAACGTTATACTGTTTTTTTAATTGTCCAGTGCTACCCCTAATTAGGATTCCTGGATCCGCCACTGAACAGCTATACAACTAGAACAGCTATACAACTAGGTCTCTGTCAATGTGAAATTGTACATCATGCAATATCAATCTTTTTTTTATCAATCATACTAGAACAGCTTAGAATTTAATATGACGGTAAATCATTTGACAAGCCTATTTCAGCCATTATCAAAACTTTTAATGATCTAATAACAAACAAAACATGCATAGACTACCACTACCTTCCATTTCTACCGTAAAACATATATGAATTGCAAGACATGACTAAAGTTAAAAAATATGGAATAACTAAATTGAACAAACAAATAAATAACAAAGCCTGACTTCTTTTAAAATTAAAAAAAAAAAAAAAAAAAAAAAAAAAAAAAAAAAAAAAGAGAGAGAGAGAGAAGCATTCATCTAGATTGAAGTCTCAAATCTCTAAATTGGATGTTGTAAAATCCACAACTTTTTGATGAAAAAAGAGTATCATCTATATTCTAGAATGGCCAACAATAGTATTTTAAAAAGAAAACTAATATGAGATAACCAAATTAATTGCTCACTGACCTGCTTTTGCCAAACATTTTCAACCCTTCCAGAAATAGAGATTTCTCCAAAGGCTTCCACTCACAGCTACTTGACAATTTTCTCCTTCTCCTTCCAAAAGAAACTGGTTGCTTCAGTTCCACCCTCCTACTAATGTCACGAACTTCTTCTCCAACAATATCATGGGTATGAGAACTTGAAGTGTTAGGAGAACTTAAATCATACAAAACGCCAGTAGCATGCCCCTCCATAGGATGTTTGCCTGTCTGTTGATGATCCAGATATTGAGATGACTCAACATTCAATTTCTTGCTTTTGCCAGATGAAATTGCACTTGCTGATACAGATTTACTATTGACAGCCGTTGCTTCAACAGCTTGAATTTTTGTCAGCTTCTTATTAATGGAACTTTCGAAGCTACCAGATCCCTCTAACTCTCTACCATTGTCATCAGTGATCTTGCACTTTGCCACATTTGTATGAACTATAGGCACAACTTTTAAAGCAGATAGGTCTCCTGCAGTAGAACCTTCCCCAGAAGCAGACTTCAAAGTACAGCCTGTACCAAAATCTGCACTGCTTATATTCACTTCCCAATTGAGAACACTAGAGCCTCTACTTTCCTCTTCTAAAATAACATGATCCATATGCTGTAATAAACGAGTATCTGAGCTTTCCACCAATTCTTCAGCAGTTTGTCTAGCCTGGCAGTTTCAAAAAATTATAACTACATTATTCAAGCTTTGCACAATCAAAGAAAAAGGAAAAATGCACCCCAGACAGATTAATAATGTGCAGTTGTCTGTTCAGTTAGTTAAAACATAAACCTTATTCAGTTCATTGAAAGGGGGAGAAACCCCTTTCTTATAAAATCAATGCATTCTTTGAGAGATAACATTCAATGTAATGTACATCCACTTTATCACTATAGACCTCCTTTGTCCTCTCTTTTATATGCAGAGTCAGTGTCAGTGTATTGCTTACACTAGTTTGTCATAAAAGGAATAGAACGTTATTCCTATGCTAGACATGCTCATTAAACAGCAAGGCAGATTAAATTCCATATAAATTCCAAATATATTCAGTTGTTCAATTTCTGTATTTAATATTACATTGAAAGCTTATATTTAACTAATTTAAGGATGTATAACAAGACAGCAATTCAATACCAAGTAGGCAAAAGTATGGCCAATAACTTAGTAACTTCCTACTTCAACAGGAGATCAATGCACTAAATAAGGCATTGCTATATTTCTCTATTGACTTTTATACTTTTCTAAATTCAGGATGAATTCATGACATCACCCAAAGTCCTCAATAACCACCGAAAACAAGAAAACGCAGTGACATATAGCTAAAGCAAACTATTAGCACCATCTCCCACTTCATCCTACACGTTCAAAAATTTCATACCTCGTCAAAAACCCAAACTTGGAAAAGGAAGCAAACAGGGCAAGGAGGGAAGAGATGCTGACCTTTGGCTTGGACAATGAATCAAGAGTTCCAGACACCATCACTGCCTCTTACAATTAAAGGCCAGATATGAGGGCTTTACGGCAAAATGCACATAAAGAAATGTCTTTATTGGTTTAGTGATATGGCTCAGATTCAGAGGACAACCAAAATTGTAATAAGAGACCAGCTGCAGCACAGAAAGATCTGGTGAACTATTGTTAAAAACCTGATGCTACAGTACGCCAGGCCCACAGTCCCTCAATTTACATAAACATCCTACAACAAGAAGAAGAAATAAGCTCTTAATGGCATCTAGCATTCTCTACAAGCCCATTGCTATGTAACGAAATTTGAACTCCCAACCAATAATCATCAGTTGAACAACAATTCAATTTGCAAATGTAGCAATATACAATGAAAATTAAATATTAATGAAATTTACTTGGCCGGAAAACTAGTTCTAATATTGAATGATGAAGAAAATTCTTCAACCCTAGTGTTAGTTAAGAAAAATATCGATTCCCTCAAATGTAATTAATAGTATCTGTCCATGTATAGTTGTTACAGCTTAGCCTAACACTGATTAACTTTCATGTTAACTCAGTCAAGTTCAAGTCCAATATCTTAGGGTGCGACTATGTGAGTCATTCTCAGGCTAAAATCAGGTTAATAATACTTGTTCAAGGCTCCAAACACTCAACTTCAGATCCCCTTTTACTTTAAACTTTTTAATTTTAGCACTTAAAGTGCATTTCTCAAAATTTACTTGGTCCAACCTTTAAACAACTCAACTTAAAACCAATTTGGGACACATAGATCAGAATATCAGATAGGTACATGATCCTAAACATTGAAAAAATGCCAGAAATAGGTTCCTAGGGCTGGACTCCATCAGAATTCTACTGTCAATGGCATGAAACCGAAATTCTAGAACTGTCATCCTCGAATTATGAGGTTAAGGGTTCAATTCAAGTCGGGTCGGTTTTTGACAAGTCTATCATATCTCCGGAAAGAATAAAAAAATACTTTGTATATATCACAACTTTTAATGGACACCCCAAATTAGAGAGGGAAACAATTTCAAGACAAATTTGATCACCCTTTCTTAAGCTCAATCAAATTATCAAATAAACAACAACAATTCCCACCCCACAAAAACTAGAACAACATAAAATCAGCAGTATTCAATGAAATTTCATAAAAATAATCCCATCAATACTTCATATATATATATATATATATGATCAAATCAATCAAAAACCAAGGAAATGATCAAAACATTCAAAAACCAAATAAATAAAAACTGATTGTTTTAAAACATAAAAAAGTTGGGTCATTTCAACAAGCATATCAATAATAGCAGATACAAATTGGGGAAAAAATTAGAGAAAGGAGATAACATACAAGAAAGATACTAACTTTGAGAAAATTTCACACCCTTATTGATTTGTTGGTCCTCCACACCTCAATTCAAGGTAGCCAAAACAGAGAGATAAAATGAGAGAGAGATATAAAGAGAGAGAAAGAGAAAGTGGGTTGAAGGAATTTGGGAAAAAAAAATGGAGGGGTTTTGATGATGAAGATGGTGGAAGTGGAGAGGGGGAACTGTAGAAGAAGAATGTGCTACTTTGAAAAGTGAGATATTTTGCAACTTTGGCCCCTTTTTTAAGGAGTGAATTCCTTGGTTGGGTCAAGTTGTGTAATTTGGTTGTGCTTATGGATGAAAAAAAATAAAATTAGGAAGGCCTTGCTATTTATAGGCATTGTGGCTTCCAATTCCGTATTCCGTAATCTCCATACGGAATTGGAAGCTAGAAACTAACCTAACATCTTTTTTAACCTAAACTTTGGTAATATCTAATTAGGTTTATACCATCTTGAATTATTAGTTAAAATGTATATGCTGGATCAAGCTGGCACAGACCACGTCATTATACATTAAGTGAAGGCATTATCCATGGATATCACTGCCAGCTAAGTCATTGGTGGACACCTTCTTGCTTGGTAATATTAAAAGAAATTTAGGTTAATTGGGGTGAGAGTAGGGGTATTATTGTCATTCATTAGTCAAATTATTGGTCAATAAATTGGTTCACGTCATAAAAGCATGATATCTTAAAAAATCTTTCATCATTTAAAGGAGGGAAGATATCAAAATTAATAGTATTGGTCAAAATTAATATATTAGGTCAAGCTGGCACAAGGCTGGTCCAGCCACGTCATAAGACACTAAGTGGAGGCATTTTCATTGGATGTCACAGCCACCTAGGTATCTCTGGACACCTCCTTGCTAATGGTAAAAATAATTTGGGTCAATTAGGTGAGTGTGGTGGCGTTAGTCAATTTATCAATCAACAAATTAGTTCACATCATAAAAGCGAGATATCTCATAATATCTTAAGAAATCTCCCAACATTTAAAGAATGGAGGATATTGAGTTAGTAATTCCGTCGTTTAAGAATGGAGGATATTGAATTAGTATGGATTTAATAGAGTCGATCAAAATGAATATATTAGGTTAAGCTAGCGCAAGGCTAGTACAAGCCACGTCATAATAAGACACTAAGTGGAGACATTATCCATGGATGTCGCTACTACCTAGGACATTGTTGGACACCTCCTTGCTCGGTAATGGTAAAAAGAAATTAGGTTAATTGGGAAAGTGTAGTGAAAGTATGGTCATTCATCAATCAACTATCGGTTAGTAAATTAGGTCAAATCATAAAAGTGTCATATTTCATGATGTTTTTTTTAAAAAAAAAAAAAAAATCTACTGTCATTTAAAGAATGAGGATATCAAATTAATATAAGACTAATTTAGTAAAGTCGGTAAAAATGAATATAATAGATCAAGCTAGCGTGAGGCTGGCGGCACAAGCCACATCATAAGATACTAAGTGGAGGCCTTATCAATGGATGTCACTGCCACGTATGTCGTATGTGAATATGTGATACCAATTTTCAAATATTATAATCTAAAATTAAAAAAAATTGGGTACATTAGTAAATTAGTCTTAAGATGAATGATTGACAACTAAGAGCAACTCCAATGGTAAGTTAATTGGCAAATTAGATTGTTATGCCACATAAGACTTTAAGCTAATCTTTTTTATAGCTAGTTTGTGCCCCAATAGTTAGTTACTAGCTTGTGATTTAAATGAGATTTAATTTTTTAATTAGTTTTTAAAAATTAGCTAATTAGGTCCGCATAATTATGAATGGTTTGGTTAGCATTTTATTAGCTACAAAGTTTATAAGTTTACTTCTCTCCTTACTTTTTTTTTTTGAAACATACTTCTCTCCTTACTTTCCCAATGAATACTTTGATATATTCTTTTTGTTCTAAATAAAAGTCTCATTTGACTAAAAAAAAACATCCTCAAGTATTTACATTTTTCATTCAATTTAACTCAAAATTTGCTATATCCCCCCTCCCCCTCCACTTTTAAGCAATCAAACCTAACTATCTTGTTTTTTGTACTCACCTAATTAAGGCTATAATCAGCAAAATTCCACTATCTTAATACTTTTATCCACCTTTTTAAAAAGGTGTGCAAAAGACAAATGAGACTTTTATTTAAAAAAGGGATAAATTTATTGATAATGGCCCTAAAACTTGGGGGGGGGGGGTTTGGGGTACCATGTCATGTCAACTTGATTTAACCCATGGTCCTACAAACCCACTCACAAACCAATGTCCATAGTCCATACTCCATAGACCCAATAATTGATATTATAATACCAAGTGTTACAAACTCTTAGACCATCTCCAATGGTGAGACTTAAGAGAGTTTTTTAGGAGAGAGAGTATTTTTTGCAAATGATACCAATAAGTTGGTATCTAAACTTAACAACAGTTGTTAAGTTTAGATACTCAACTTTGAGTCTCATTTGACAAAAAGTGTAGGCCCTTTATCAATATTATAACATATTTTGTAATTTATTTAAGATTTTTTTTTTATATATATATATATATATATATATATATTTTTTTTTTTTTTTTTGTTTGTGAAAAACTTACAATATGAATTAGGTGGGCCATAAATTGAAAGTGACAATAGTATATTTTAGAGAGTCTTACCATTAGGAAATTAGACTTCACATGAGTTGCTAAATTGAGAAGTGGGTTGGATATCACCATTTGAGGTAAGAAACAACTCATTTTATATTTCAATACTCAAAGTTAAGTCTCACCAATGGAGATGGTCTTACAGAGACAGAAATTTGCAAAAATCACATACTTAAAGAGCATATGAACATACATGTTGATATGATAATGTTATCAACATGCATATCTTTCTTTTATTGAGGAAAAAAAAATTGTTGAATGAAAACACTATCAATGGTTTTAATGACATCTTCCTGCAAAAATTTGTTCTTATCTTCTAACTCTAGTACTAAAATTTTGAGGTAAATGAACAACTCAACTTTCAAAATTCCAACCATTTGGTATAGTATACACAGGTTACTGGGGAGATGACACCATCAGGAGCACAATGGTTAATTCGGGGACAAACACCACAGGGTATCATAGAGAAAGCTCCCACTTTAGCACGCTGTGATTTGAGTTTGTAACACTGCGTTGATAGGAAACGATGCCAACTCCCCCATTCCATTGCCCTTCACTCTACTAATGCTTCTCCAAAACCAGATTATCAAGTATCTCCTTCACCTGTTCCACCGTTAAATCAACTTGAAACACCCCTGTCATCTGAATCTCATGGCGCATTCCATCAGCTGTTTAGAAAGTCTTTGTAAACAGACACGCTTCAAATTTTCAATAAAATCCTCATCAAGCATCCCGTCATGATACCATACACCACCAGTTAACTCCTTTGAGGGCTCAAACTCCATAGCCATGAGTCGCTTCTTCCCCTTGGCTTGAACATTAGGCACCTCTTTGATCATTTGCTTCAGTTGGAGAGACTTAACACAGTTATCAATTGTCTTTGCATTGGTGATGTTCAACTCTTTTCTTATGTCTCCCTTCCATATACCCATATCCCCCTTGTCTTTAATCAGATTGTATACATTACGCTCATCAGCTGTCAACTCCTTTGATCCATCCGAACCTGGGCGCGGCCGCTTGAGGCCTGAAATCCCTCCTCTTCCACTCATCCCTTAGAAATCAAACCTCGCTACTGGAAGAAAATTGAATACTTCCTAAAAACAAATGAAAGCAGCTGAAAGATAAGTTCTATTAGTCTAAAAACAAAACCCTTACGACTAAACCCTCATTTTTTTAATTTTTTTTTTTGAGGCTACACCCTCATAATCAAATCAAAAGAATCAGCAACAATAAAATTAACTAGTTAAGATCAATTCTTAAAAATCTTCATTTTTTTTTGCAATTTTTGTTAAAAATTTAACTTATTAAAAGGACGAATGGGTTGAAGCTCGCAAGCAATCATTGGCAAGCCAGTTGCTGAGCTAGGGCAAGCGGGTCTGTCAAAGAGAAAATGTACCCTTATAAAGTTCTGTCCCACAATAAAAAGGTTATGAACAACGTCCTGCAACACATTCATAACCAAATTTGACTCGATTATCAATTAAGCTCCAAAATTCCACTCAAATTCTTCTCGCTTAAGAGCATCAACGTAAGTAGCACATAGTCAAATTCTTCTCGCTTAAGAACATCAACGTAAGTAGCACATAGTCAAATTCTAGCAACAAAACTGAGGATTATGAACAACAGCTTGCAACATATTCGCAACCAAATTTGACTCAATTACCAAATACGGATCAAAATTCCACATCAAATTCTTTTCGCTTAAGAGCATCAACATAAAAATTGAACAATGCATCATTCTGGCAACAAAATCGAGGGTTATGAACAACAGCCTGCAATACATTTGCAACTGATCAATTTTGTCACAATCATCAAATTAGGCCCAAAAATCACATTAAATTCTTCTCACTTAAGAATATCAACGTCAATTGCACATACCTAAATCCTAGCAAAAGAATCAATCTTTCATAAATAAAGCAATTATAATCAGAAGTTCAATAATCCAGCCTCGAAGAACCCTAAATTGACTATACTGACAATTAAGTTAACGATAAACCCTAGATAGTGAATTGAAATTCGATAACTTTTCTTTTTCCAAAAAAAAAAATAAAATCTTACCTCACAAGACAGTGGTAGAGCCAGGATTTTCAACTTGGGGGACAAAAAGGTTTAACTTGACAAAAAGATTAACAAAAACAAAAAAAAAAACTCAAACACACAAATTGGTTAATACCTAATATTAAAATTTGACTCATTTTCATTGAGTTTCGGTCTTATAAACAAGAATTGTCGAAGATCGGGTTGTTTACTAGTTGCCTTGGATTTGTTTGAATTAGGTGAATCTTTTGACTTTTGCTAATTAAATTGAAAAATATATATCAATTTCCACAATCCACAATTCCACATCATTACATAATAATAAAACCTAAAATTCTAAATTTCTAATTCAACTATACATTTCAATAAATTCACAAAAACAGGAGAAAATAATGCAATCAAAAGTTCACAAAATTAACTATACATTTCATTAATTCAATAAATTCACAAAAACAGAAGAAAAAAACAAGTAATAAACCAATTAACCAACAGATTTCAATATTCAGAGATTTCAATAAGACAATAAACCAACACATTTCAAAATTTCAATAGTTCAATACTTCAAATCTTCAATACCCAGAATAATTGAATAAAAGTATAAACTATAAAACAATTAAACAAGTAATAAACTAATAATTCAGAGATTAAATTCAGATTTAAATACCGTGAATTGGGTCTAGCGATTTAGCGAAGTGAGCGAAGTCGAATGGAGAGCAGCGAGTCCAGCGACGAGCCGACGAACGGACGAAGCAGTGAATCACGAAGCAGCGACGGCGGCGACTCGACGGACGGAGGGACGGAGTGCCGGGAGTGGAGCCGACGAGCGAGAGTGGCAGACTGGTAGAGGATTTTCGAACTTCGAAGAGAGAGGAAAGAGGAAAGTTAGGTTTCACTTTTCAGAGTTCAGTTTTCTTTTCTTCCTTCTTTCTGGCTTTCTGTGCGTTACTCTTCTTTTTTTCTTTTTTTTTTTTTAAGTTGGGGGACAACTGTCCCCGGTGTCCCCCACTGGCTCCGCCCCTGTCAGAAGCTGCTTCAATGAAGGAGAGAAAGCTCAAACGCCGCTTCAATGCAAGTGAAATAGCTCTAAAGGAGAGGGGGAAAATTAAAACTTAGGAATAAAATTTATACGAAGTAATGTCGACCGTAGATCTAAATATTATCAACGGTTAACATTCATTTTCGGTTATGGAGTAACTTTTTATACTCTCCATTCTACCGAGTATGAAAACACCTCTACGGAGTACTAAAATAAGTTTGGTCTAGTGAAAACGAGAGTATCGAGAATCCACTTAGTGATAATTTGGGGATGGGATTCCCTTGCCTTTCACCCACTCTTCCAAATTGTTTAGCCCACTACCCTGGATCGGGTTGAACTGTGGAATTCTGGGCTTTTTGGCCCGATAGAGCCCTTCATCTTACTAAAAAAAAATTATGATAATATAGTGAAAAGGTTTGTCATCTCCTCTAAAGATGAAAGGTTTGTCATCACCACTAGAGATACTTTGGGGTGGGAATTTCAACATTTTGTTATCCTTCCCTCTTTTAAAGGCCTAGCTCGTTAACTTGGGCCGATTGACTTGTGAGAGGTCTTGGGCCTTTTGGCTCAATAAAGCCATTTTTCCTCACCTACTATTGTAAAAAAAATTATACTTCATATACAACTATATACTCCCTCTATAATTTTTATTCTTAAATACAACAACTTGACTAGCTTATTTGTCGCATAACCTTGACTTTTAACGTTTGTAATTTTGTTGGACGATGTGTTTTTAATTAGTCGTAGTAAAGAAAATCAAATCAAAGTGGAGTATATATTGTTGGTGATTGAAACTCTGTCTGAAGACAGAAGTTGGCTGGTTTTTCATGTATGACCCTATACACCATTCTTGCTGTTGAAGCCTCATAATTCTTCTCTACGAAATATTGGCATATTATTGCCTTACCAACTCTTGATCAAATTGCTTATCAGTAACACCAAATGCAGCTTTACCCTACATTTACTCTATCTATTTTTTCAGATTAAATATTACATCGGACATAAAAAAAGATTTTTTTATAGAGACAGAGGTAGTATGGACTAGTATATGCAAGATCATCAATTGCCGATCAAGCTATAATTGGATCTGTATTACTTCATTTATATCACATTTACAACTTCTCAAAAAGATGTAATACATTATACAAGTTGAAAAACTTCCCACAAATATTTAAGGAAAAAAATAAAAAGCTATGAAAAAAAAAATGTAGTCTTGAAATAGTTGACTTACATCAAACTTTATCTTCATCCTCTCTAATGAGTTCAATATTAGAATCTTGATCATCATTTGTTACCCTCCTTTTAAAAATAGTCATACCAAACCAAATAATTGACTTAATAATCCTAGCCATCCCAATTGCAACGGTCAAATAATACAACCACAACCCAAGAAAATCACCCAAACCAACTTTCATCATCATTTCCCTCTTAACCTCCACCACCACCACCAATGACTCAACCTCGTCTCGTAACCGCCACCACGACAACGCCCCGAAACAAGCAGCGAGGGCCCACCTCTCGGCCATCCTCTCTTGGCGGGCCCCACCAAAGATCGTGTCGTCCACCACGGGCCTAACTATGGTCCTAGACCAATGGATCATGGTCTCATGTAGGCCCAAAAAGAAAACCAACTTACTCAACATGGACCTTTCATCACCAAACCCTGCCCCATCAACTCCTGCCTTAATAGTAGCCTCAATGCCTAGCCCTACACACACTTGTAAGGTGCATAGGAAGATCCACGCCGCGTGCACCCGGGGCCTAAAAATAGGCCCCGGGAGCTCGCTTATTAGGCTAATACGGCCCGTTAAGGCATGTATTAACGCCGCTAAGCTAATAACGGACACAAGGGCATGTAGGATGTTTGGGTTAGTGTTGAGAAAAAGAGAGAAAACAAGGGATTTCGGAGGCGAAATCGAGGCTAATGACAAGAGGTAATGAGCACTTGATAACCTTGCTAATAGCAAGAATGATAGAGGTAGTAAAAGGCTAAGAAGAGTTATGGAAATAGCATAAAATGGTTGCACCAAAAATGGGTAATTGACTATCTCAAATTTGGCTGAAATTGCCTTCTTTTTCCATAATTTCCAACCCATAATTTTATTTCTTGATGTTTCTAGTCTCAATAAAGATTAAACTATTTGAAACAAACAGAAATTCACCTAGAATTTGAATTTTGGATCAAAAGGAAGATTATATTGTAAAGTATATATATGAAATGAAGTTTGGTAAGGCAGCTGGTAAAGGTGGTTGCCACGATTAGATGTTAGTTGACTAAGAATCTTTAATCATATAATATAATTATTAATATGAACGTAATTAAATAATTTATTTGTAATATAAGTTGTATGTTGTAATGTTGGTGTATATTTGATTCATGAATCATGGTTAGTTTTAATGATCATAAAATCATTTTGCATCATGTGATGCTTTACCAGCATTGTTGTTAACAACTTCTTATAAAGAAACATTATTATTAACAAATAATTTTTAAATAATTAAAAAAGAATTGATTTGTGAATTGGATTATTATAACTTGTTAACATCAATTATTAAAAATTATTAAGATATCCATCTGGATCAATTAAAGTGTGGCTAATGACAAAATATTATTTTTATTTGTTTGTTTTTATTGATCAATCATAGTCGTCAAACATCCAAAAAATAGGTCATATATACCACGCACATAAGATAAATTAAATGAATGAATAAATATACTCTGGCCCTCCTTTCATACTTATAGAATATAGGAGTGTAAATATATACCGACTATATTGTCATCTAAACTTCTACGTATTATACAAAAATGGTTTATGCGTGAACGAAAATCCTAATTGTACGCCCTTAATTAATAACGATACAAACAACACGATAATATCTTAATTACTATATTAAGTCCGGTGCCACGCACGGTTGTTACAAAATTTTATAACGAATTAATATGTTAATTCAAAATCTACCAAAAAAATAATCCTCATATTTTTAAATGAGATTAAAAAAATTTGAATCTTAATTTATATCCAGAATTGAGCCCAAATCCGGATTAGACCAAAAGATGAATCAGGTGAAACACCAAAAAAAAAAAAAAAAAAAAAAAAAAAAAAGATGTAGAAAAATATTTTATACAATAAAAATATGATAAATATGTGAATATTTTTTTTAGGAAGTGAATCACAATTATATGATTTGGTGAATATTTTTTTTGTAAGAAAGTGAATCACAATAATATAAAGAAATGAATTTTTTTTAGGAAGAGAATAAATAAACAAAGAAAAAAGTTTTGGAGGGAAAAAAAAATAGCACCAAGAAGTGACACGTGTCATTCTTGGTGTTTGTTTTAGTATTATGTTATTACTAGTATAGAACCCGTGCAATTGCACGGTTTTAAAAGTTCATATATAAAATTTTACAAATTTTAAGCTATAGTATACTTAATTCATAACAATATAATGATAGCCTGTACAACAATTGATTATTCATTATTTTGTAACAATTTTAATCACAATAATGTGTACCAATTTATCACAACTTTTTATCATATTTTCAAAATACAAAGTATATAGTAATAGAGATATGAATAAGGATTATGCCCTTTATATATTTTTATTATATTTAACCTTTTAGAACAAAATGATTTATGTCTTTCACATATCTCATGAATTACTCGTCTTGTGTATTTTTAATTTTGTTTTAATCATGCTAATAATAAAACAACAACGTGTTTTTTGTGCGTCTGGTCACACCATGTGGCAAACTGACACACACCAAAACACTGACCGCGTGACCCATGACTGAGTAACCCCTGACCGACTGAGTAACCCATGACCAACCGACGAATCCTTGACCGAATAACCCCTGATCGATCGGGTAACCCTTAAGTAAGCCCGGCCACACGATGTGCCCAACCATATATGAACTTTCTAATAAGACAAACTCTCTCCGTCTCATAATGTTGTCATGATTACAGTTTTAAAAATATCGAATTTACAAATGTCCATATTGTACATTTTTATCCTAAAATGATAAAAAATTTGCACCAATATAAATAAAAGTTACCGTGGTATAAATAATAGTTAAGTATGAATATCAATTTAAAAAAAGGAGGGGGTATCTTCAATTTAATATCATATACAATTTTTTTTTTTTTTTTGAAAGAAAATATCAGATACAATACTATTCAATAATATTCTTTATATTAGTATAATACAATGATATTATTGCATTAGTATTACAGGAATATTTATCAAAAAATATTTGTGTAATCAACGATTGAAAATAATATATATATATATATATATATATATATATATATATATATATATATATATATATATATATATATATATATATATATAGGTGTAAAAGAGAGGCAGAGCCTCAAGAACAAAAAACAACAAAATGCAAATATTTCTGTAATCTCACGAGTATTACCAAATGCAACATTATTTCTCCACCTCCACAGCCACCAAATCACAATCGCAAAATATGTAGGCCATATTTCGGGAGAAAGATCATTTCTAGCTTGAATCTTAATATTTCTGATAATCCATTGTTGAAGATTACCTTGTCTGAAGCTTGAAAATATACTATATTTTGTGCAATAATCAATATATATTGTTCTCGTAGTATATTTTTATATACTAATTGATCTTGTTAGTATATGAATATATTTTTAGTTATATGAATATACACATTTATAGTGAATTATAATATACAATAAAATTTAGTTGATATATATATTTCTGGGTGGAAAAATGAGCAGGAAGATTATTAATCATAGAGGGACATGTGTCAATTAAGTTCTAGATAGATTGAACGTCTT